AGATAAGATGGGGCCTGATTATTTAAGAAGGGGACATGAAACGCTGCCCACATAAAGGCTCATTTACACCATGTTTAAAGTTTTAAAACATGTTTAGCGCCATCTTCTATCAGTACGGAGCGTGACGTCTTGTGGTTGGTTGAGGCTAACAGACTCGCATTAGTTTATGTTAGCTAACTAGTAACAGGATGTCCATGTTACCGTCTGCAGCAGGAAGTGGCTGTTCGCTGTTTGGCTAGCTGCACTGAAACAGGATAATCCAGCTGTTAGCCGTGATGTTGGCGTTTGTAAATGAGCCTGTGTGAGTCACCACACCTGGAGTCCAACACTGCAGCTGTTCCTCACCGAGCCGTGAAATCTGCCTGCAAACGGATGTTTGTAAGATGCAATCAGCTCACTGTGTAATAAAATCTTTTTTCCCCAACACAATCAAACAGTTTCCAGCATCTGCATGCACGTCACACCAAAAACACAAGTTTCTTATGAAACATGATAGAAAATCCTGACATCCATCAGCAGAGATTTTATTGCATAAAGTAGAGCTGATTGCATCAGCTGATTGGTGTCAGTGCAGCCAAACAATGAAGAACCACTTCCTGTTGTGTGTCTAAACTTTTAAACACTTATTTCACAGTGTGTCAGAGTTATATCTGTCAGGGCGTGTGTGTGTCTGTGTGCGTGTGTGTCTGTGTGTGTCTGTGTGCGTGCAGCGTTTTTATGTCCTCTTTATTTAACAGCGAAGGAGCAGTGTGCTCCGCATGAAATGATCTTGTGTCTGTGTGTGCGTTTGCTTCACAGACTTTGTGTTTGTGCTTTCACTGCTGTTTTCTAATGAACGCACTTTGACTCGATGTGTAACAAACTGCACTCACACAGCATGCAGTCAGATGTCACACTGACCTCAGTTATTCCCCTGGACTGGACAGTCTGCAGTTCACACTCACAGTTGTCTTCATGTAGATTCAGGCAGAGTGGACAGAGGCCACAGGATCACTCTTCATCACGGCTTCAAACTCCTCATTTCACACCTGTAAACAACGATGGCCAAAGCCTCAGAGTCCGGTGGATGACCTCTGTGCTCGTCGGAGTGACTGCGTGCTGAGTGTTGTTCCTGTGTGAAACCACAGAGTTCAGGTTGTAACCGGTGCAGTCAGGACGCTGGGGAAGGATACGACGGTCTGTACGAGCAGGTGATGCGGTCAGAGACGCAGCTTTGAAATATTTCAGCTTTGCTTTGAATCTGAAACCTTCAGCTCTGTACACCAGATTTAAACTGTGGTGTGTGTGTGAGAGAGACACCTGTTGGTCAGGCCGGGTGGACGGAGTTTATAGATTGAGACAGAAATAGCTGCAGCAGGGGTGGAGAGAGGGAGGAAGAGGAGCGGTGGTGAAGATGAAGGAGACGTGCACAAGGACAGCCAGAGTATTTATAGAGGAACAGGAGCCTTCAGTTTCCCCTGATCGATGGAGGAGCACAAGACCTGCACACAAATGTGTGTGTGTGTGTGTGTGTGTGTGTGTGTG